TTCTCTCCATAAAAGTACAATTCATAAAACTTAATTCCTCTCTAAACCATCAATTAAACAAGTTGATTCACAATAATCTAAGGGTGTCACCTCTCAGTTTTTCTGTCTTTATTAGGGAAGATCAATCAAATTTAGGTTCTTTCTATACCACCAACTTAATCAACTTAGTTCACAAATGTTCAAAGTCCTATCCTTTCGGGTTTTCACACTTTTCTTATAAGATATATGTGGTTTCTTCACTCCACTTACTCAACCACTCAATATATGTCAAATTCATAATATTCCCAATAATTCCATTTAGGTCCAAGGTCCTTTTTGATAATTCAGCCCTCAAGGGCTCTAGATCAACATCAATATATCATTGTATAATTATTTTTTCGCTGCACAATCTCTTGGTTCATCAAGTCTTTTGTAGTAAGATGCAAATGATGCATGTAGTATTATCAACATGGCCATTTCTTGGCATAATCATAATAAATAGTAAGTCATTCAAATTTTCCAACCAAGTGTCAATTCAACCTTTTCACGGTTTTTCAAGGAATAACACAATTCATGAATAGTAAACTATTTCACATCACTTCTAATTTTTTCAGTAACTCATTCAAGCAAACATCACCAATTTCAAGTACCAATACCAAGCAACATCAAGGTCAATCACAATCAATCATTCAATCACACACTCAACCAAGTCCCACACAGTTCAAGGCATTCAAATCAATGCAACACACTTTCAAATTCAATTTTAGTTTCCTTAAAATGCAAGGTACATACAAGATATTTTTCTAAAATTTTGCAACACTTTTGGATGTCAAAACCGAGACCATCCAAGTTCATTTCCACTTTTTCTTTCATAACCCTTTCTCTCATTACTCTTAATAAACTTTTCAAAATTATTTCAAGGTTCTAAATCCATTACTTTCCACCTTTTTCCTCACAATATTCAGAACTGTCCAACCTCCAAAATCTCATCATTTGACAAGTCACTAACAAGCAAATTAGGGAAAATCAACATGCAAACGCAAGGTTCCATTATCTAAGTGCAGTATTTTAATTTTCAGCAAAGGGCTATGTTTGAAAAGGGTACACCGAGACAACACAAGGGCAATTTAGTGTTCAAACTCTCAAAATTACTAAAGAAGTTCATTTTATGAAATTAGGTTTGGTAACAAAGTGTTCAAGACATGCAAATTCACGGTTCTAAGGTCTTAAGAGTAGATTTCCGTTTATTCAAGAGATTTGGCAAGAAAACCTCTAAACTGAAACTTTTACAAAAGGTTTCCAACATATTTTCAAGTCTAAAATTTTGTACAAAGGTTGAATGTCACATGTAAGGGTTAAAATTTCAAACTTTCTAAAGAATCTCTTCACACAAAACCAAAACCAAAACTTTGAAAGTGAATCAAGTAATTTTCAAGCGAAAATCCAACAAGCAAGTGAAGGAATACAACATGAAAATTCATGGATCATGGCTTTGAAGGTGGATCATCATAGAAATCAAGGATTTCAAACATGCAAAGGCAAAACCGAAATACTTTCAAGGAAGAAATTGCAACCACTAAATAAAGTTTCAAGCTTTGAGAGAAATCAACACATCTAACCATGAAACTGAAAATTTCAAAGAGATAAAGTGGAGTACAAGACAAATACTCAACATGCAAATGAAAGATATTGCTATCCAAGCTCATAGTTACTTAATATCAAGGGTGGATCATCATTGGAACAACAAACTCTTTCAAAGAAGTGAAAAACCGAGACATTCACAAGGAGTAAACAACATGCAAATGTTCAAAATGCAAGCTTTAGAAAGATTACCTCCTTTTCACATAAACCACAAACTTAGAGGTAAATAAAGTGAAGAAATCAATTAGAATTTAACATGCAAATGGTACAATGAGCTTGATCAAAGTTATTGGAAATAAAGACGGAACCTTTACAAGATTTTACATAGTTTTTAACCAAGGAAGGCAAACAAAGGAACAAAGGATGAGAACTCCCCCTTGCCTTTGAGTTTTTGGGCGAGAAATTGAAGAAGGAAGGGCTGAAATTTGTGGATCTCCAAAGAGAACTTGCTGGACTGAAAAACAGCAACCAAGATCTTCAAGTTCTTCCTCCTAGGTGAGTTCTTTCAACACAAAAATTGGAGGGATGATGGAGGAAGAAGTTAGTGATGGAAAGGTGAAGTGTTTGAGTGATTTGGATGAAGAAATTATGGTGTTTGAGGGGCTGGAAGCTCTTGGTTTTCTTGAGAGAGTTTGAGACTTTGAGAGAATAGGAAATGATGAAGTAAAGTGTGAGAGAAAGAGAAATGAGGGTCATGGTTTTTGGCTTCCAAAATGAGCAATTGAATTTGGTAAGTCTATTTATATGGAGGGTTAATGGTTCTAATGGCCAATTGCCACAAAACACTTACGGTTTGGCTTACTTGGCAAGACTTCCAAACTGAAAAATTGCACACGGTTTTAATTGAGTAAAAGTTGAAGTGAATTTGGTAAATTGGTGCAAGGAAAAAGGTGTCATGATTTTTAGTGCATGAATAGTGAATTTTGGGAAAGCTTGTAGGCAAAGTTAATAAAATTCAGCAAGTTAAGTGCATGAAATACCCTAGGCTGCATGCACACAGTTTGGATATCACAAATCCCAAAATTTTGCACAAAAATCCAAAGCTAAGATTTTGGACATCAAATGCATGAAATTTGGTTGGTCGAGAAAAATGCGACATGACTAGGTTGTCACTTGGACGAGACTTTTGATGTGGTGCTATATTCAACATAATGTGATTGGTTAGAATAATTATGATGTCGGCAATTTGGAAGACATGAAAAGAAAGTTCCGAAATGACTTTGCCGGCAAATCGGGAGACAAAATCTCGTGCATGGAATTCTAGTGGTCAATACTAGATTTCAGAATATTCGGGTAATCACGATGTTTGTAAAATGGGGGACAAAGTTTGTTTGCATGAAAATCTAGTGGCCGATACTAGATTTGTAAAGATTTGGAGTAATGATTACAAGACTAAGTAATGATTACAAAATCTTTTGAAATGATTATAAATTTTTTTGAAATAAATATAAAATCTTTTGAAATGATTATAGAATATTTTGAAATGATTACAAAATCTATGTAATGATTACAAAATCGTTTTGCAGTAATTACGAAATCTTTTGAAATAAATATAAAATATTTCATAATGATTACAAAATCTTTTAAAATAAATATAGAATATTTCGTAATGATTACAAAATTTTTTGAAGTAAATATAGAATATTTCGTAATGATTACAAAATCTTATATTTTTCAAAAATGATAATTATGATTTTTCAATAATTTAAATAAGACAAAATATAGTTTTTTTGAGCAAGATTCTCAGGGGTATTTTTTGGTAATTAAGTTGAAAATAATTAGAAAAATTTTGGATGATATCGAAGCCAAGTGTATTGAATGCAGTTACTCTAAAATGCAAAACTTAGAGATCAAGCCACTATTTTCCTCAGTGAATAAAAATAGAAAATTCAGCATCTATCTAATTATTCAGATACTAGCAAGCCATAAATAGAAACCAAACTAGATCTAAGAGTCACTAGCTTAGTTGACGAATTTTGGGGCGTTACACTTCTTTTGTAACCGCTATTGCCCACGATCTCTTTTGCGTAATGGTGAATGTTGATGACTGCTGGTAACTGTTTTTGAATTTTGCAATGACTTGAACTATCAAGACTTTTATTTTTCTATCTTTTGAGTGTTTCTGGGAGAAATATAAGAGGCTCATTTAGTGTTATGGCTTTAGAATAATTTCTCCTTGACTTCTCTTTTCGACTAATTCTAGAGTTTTGAGAGCTTTTCTTGGTCTTGTAGACTTAGAATATTTTCTTTGCTCATTTCTGTTTTTTGAGCAATTCTGGAGGAACTCTGGAGCTCAACTAGGCTGGCAGACTTATAATATTTTCTGACTACTTCCTGTTTTTTGAGCAGTTTTGGGTGTTAAGGACTTGAAAACTCCTCAAAACTCCTTGAAAAGGCCATCAGTTTTGTGGACTTAGAATATTTTTTGTCTACTTTCTGTTTTTCAAGCAGTTTTGGGTGTCAGGAACTTGGAAACTCCTCAAAACTCCTCGAAAAGGCCATCAATTTTGTAGATTTAGAATATTTTTTTGTTAGTCCTATTTTTTGAGCAGTTTTAGAGGAAAATCAATGATGTGACAAAAACCTCTAAAATAGCTCAAAATGTGTCCTTTTTGATATGAAACAAAAAGGTCTTAGATAACTTTCCAATACTTCTCAAGTTAAGACCTATTTTTAGGCTCCTTTATGATTCTCAATATTTTGTCAAAATGTAACTTTCTTCAACATAATTTTTAACTTAGAAAATTTTCTTTACCTCAAACAGTGACTTTGGTTAAAAGAGATTTCAGAGAAACTTTGACAAACTAGAAGGACTAAGGCAAGAAACCAATAAAAAAAATTAATTAAGCATCACTCTTATCTTCACTTAAGTTTAATTTCTTCACTTTATCTAAATTTGATGTAGCTTAAAGTAACCATTTGTAGAATTCAAACTGCACTAAATGATATTGAACCATAAACTAGATTATAAAAAATACACTCATTTTTTCGATATACCTTAAAATATATATCAATTTTGTATAATTATGCTGAAAATGTGAGGATTGTTAATATAGTGAGTTATATGCATGTATCTTATTTGTTTGAAATATGATTACTATTATAAACGAAATATACTGTATGAAGCATATATGATAGATACGTGTGCATTAAATAAATGTATGAAAGTTATATAAAACAATTATATAATTTACATAAGTCAAACTTTAATCCAAAAATATATGTATTTTTTTACAATTTAAATAAAAAAACTTGAATATTTATGTATGAAGTACATACATAATAATAATCAGCATAGAGCTCATCACAACTAATAAGCAAATTAAAATTATATAATTTATATGTAAATTAAAATAACTAGGCGGCTTCATTTCTTAACTGAGAAGACTAAGGCCTTGAATTTTCGATTGGCCAAGCAACATCATCGATTCAATTCTGATATTGCAATAAAAAAAGACGAATCAACTTAGCAAAACAAAGAAGCTGAAAACAGTGAAAACAATCACAGTGTACCTCACGCGCCTCTCCACATAACCATTTCCACCACCGCCGCTGCTTACCACCGGCGACTCCACTCTCGGCAACCGGTAATATCTCTCTTTCTCTCTCTCTCGCACACACACTCACGCGCGCGCGCACGCTTTTCTGTGAATCTTAAGTGTTTTGCTGTTCCTGTTGTTGGATCCCTTTCTTTTGTCGCAGAAACTACGATGTGTTCTGAGATCGAAACGCTTCAATAATATTGTCCGGGAATTGTTTCGATCAATTTTTTCACCATCGATTTTCGAGGGCATTTTTTTTTGTTAGCAAGCGTTCGTTGAGTGAATGTGTTGTCTGTGCTTCGCGTTTTTAGGAAGCGCACAAGCATGTTCTCGTGCCTCTTTGCCTTGGAGAAATTTGTGCTTCGAATCGTGAAGCCGTGGTGTGTGGTTACTTGTTTGTGTTCTCAACTGTAATTTTTACTGGAAATTTGTTATGGGAAAATAGCTAGAAAATATTCATACGGAATCGAAAAGAGGCAGTGTAAACCGCGTTTTCTTTTCGTGTTGTTGATATTACCTTTCTGGTTTGTTATATATTTGCTTCTGTTCTTGGATAATATTGTATTTTCTATGCTGTAATTTGACATAGTTTCGTAGATCTAATGTTTATTACTCTAAGTTGAAGATGTTTGGGTATTGATTATTGAAGTTGCGATGCTATGATTGCAATTATTCGTTCAGTGTTGGACTATTATATCCACTGGTGCTAAACTTTTTACTTTTTACCTTTTCTTATCATATACTGCGCTGTATTTTGTATTGACATTAAATAAATGCTAATTGATGCAGTTTAATTTAATTAATGATACTGATAATGCTAATTTTTGGATTTTAACACTTAATAGGGATCTGCAATATGGAAAAAACTTGAATTGGTTAATAGGTTGTATAGTAGTTTTGTGGTATAATTTATTTGACTTGACTGTTTTATTTTGGTTATATTAATTCAAGTTGACTAGTTATATTGGTAAGGGTTAGGCTACGGGGACCTGTCTGTTTTTCTTTAAAGATGCATGATGGAGCAATTCTACAGCTATATATTTCAGAGAAAATTAATCCTTGAAACACAGAAGCTAGAAATTCGCATTTCATTGGTATTTCTATTACAGTTCTTTAGGCTGCGACCTTACATAGTTCTGCATGCATGACAATTAACATGTCAACTGCATTTCTAGCATATTAGTGCACCATGGCATCCACGTGGATGTCTCTGTCAACAAATGCATTCTCTAAAATTTGGAATAAAACACAATCCCTTTTGTCAAAACAAAAACTGTAAGACCCAAAACCATAAGGCTTTTGTCTTGTATTCAGAGCATTATGACTTCTGTTTAGTGGTCAGTTATGACTTGGGGCTTGCATTTTTCTTCAGGCAAGACTATGGGAAGGGGTTTTACAGCAAACAAGGGAATGAACTCTGCTTGGGTGGGTTGAGTTTCTGGTCCTGAAATCCCTGTTGCAGGGAATTGAAGATTAGAGGGTCAATTGTGGGTGGACTTTGGCTGGGTATATGGGATTCTGGCTCCTCTATGAGCTTAGAAGCTTTGGCTCAAGGAGGGAAGGAGAGGAAAATTGATTTCAGCTTTCTTTCAGGGACTAAACTGATGTCAAGTTGTCAACCCTATTTTCCAAGGATCAAAATGACAGTTTACTCTGTATTTTATGATTTTACATGCTTTGCAGTTGGTTCTCCTGGAATTTTTTTCCTGAGTTGAGATTTATACTAGTTATGATGTTGCTGTATGATAATTTTGAGTCAAACTGTTGCCACATAATATTTATATTCATTTCATTGATTTATTAACTGACTTAATTTCTTTTATCATTTGTTTCAGTGAAGGCAAGACACTTGAACGTTTGAGTCATTGGTATAAAATGGTTTCCTTTGAAATGAATGATCGAAAAAGTAAGTGGAATTAGATTTTGTTTTTACTAGCAATAGTGGTGTGGTATGGGTTGGTATTCTGTCTTTAGCACTCAAGTCTAAGGATAGATCATCACAGTTTGCAATGGTTCTGTAAATAAATTAACTGTTGAATTCATTATTTTAGGGAGATGCTATCTGGTTGAAATGATATTATGGTTGTGCAAATAAACTTGATTTCTTCTCTTTTGCTACCTTGTGTATTTATTATTTTCTTGGTTTTATTAATGGTTGGCTAGAAGATTTAAATTATGTAGTTTTGAGAGACTGATTCTAGAGTCTTTAACGTAGATTTTTCTTAGTTGGTGAAGTTGTTTTCGCAGGTCCAAATTTGTGTGCATTTAATGTTTCCATCTATTTTATAATGCCTAGATTTATTAAAGCTTGTGTGCATGTGATTGCTACCTATCCTCATTGCCTTGTCTTTTATCAAAGCTCCGTTGAGGAGGTGCTCGCCAAGTGGGTCTTGTGTCTCATATTTATGAATAGTGCAGGACATGTTGTGGGCTTCAGTCCAGACAAGCACAAGAAAATAAGAGAGAAAAATAAAAATAAAAATCTGCCTGTTGTCTAAATACCAAGCAAGAAATTAGACATATTTGACATGTTGTCCATTTTGAGAACTCAATATTGATAATCTAATTAATCATGTAAACTTAATAACTACTTACGTAAATATTATACCATACTATTTTCTTGAAATTTATTATGTAGAAGTGACAGTATATGTCATGCACAATTCTATGTCTGTGTTCTGAACTTATTTTCTTCAGTTCATGGAGCAAGAAATCTTTCTTGAGATGAAATTTTTTTTAAAACATATATTAGTGCCCTTGCTTTTGTATATTTGTTTTGTAATCTTAGCCTCTTAGGTAGCAAAACGATAGGATAAGATTTTGTAAACATTAAATAGCTGGCATCTACTGGTTATATTATAAATTTTATTTTACTATTCTAATATCTTATGAAATTTAATGTTTGCAATTGGCCTGTTAAACAGAGATTGGATTGGGATTAACGGGCTTTGGTATATTTTTCTCATTCCTTGGCGTTATCTTCTTCTTTGACAAGGGATTGCTAGCAATGGGAAATGTAAGTTTTATGTTATGACAAATTCTTGCCTAAGCTTTTGATCTTTCTGCTTGCTTGTGTGATTATGCTTGATCAGATATTTTATGACATACTTTTTGTGACTCAATCAGATCCTGTTTGTTTCTGGAGTATCCCTGACCATTGGTCTAAAATCCACCATGCAATTCTTCATGAAACGTAGTAATTTTAAGGTAAACTAGTTATGTATTTATCAGCTCTTTCATTTAGCATTTCATGTGCTCTTCATGGTTAATATTCCATTGTTAGTATTTACTTATTTGCTGGTTTTGTAGGGAACGATTTCATTTGGTATTGGATTCTTGATTCTTATCTTTGGGTGGCCTATTCTGGGCATGATTTTGGAGTCTTATGGGTTCATCGTACTCTTCAGGTTTAGTTGAATTCAACGAAAATCTGTTCTATCAACTATCAAGTATGTTTTGTGCTTAACTACTGAACCGTTATGATGGAATTATATTTTGCAGTGGTTTCTGGCCAACACTGGCTGTTTTCTTGCAGAAGATCCCTATTCTTGGTTGGTTGTTTCAACAGCCATTTGTTCGATCGGTAAGTAGTTGTGCTGAAATGTTTCTTTCTTATCATCTTAAGCATTTATATAGCCATTTATTAAATCTAGTTATTTTAGTATGTTACAACACTGTGTTTGCGTGTTACCACATCAATAGTGAATGTACGTGAGAGTTAAAGAAATCTCAGTAGCTGTGGTAGATTGGGGGGTTATCATACGGTATGTTTGCCGAGATGTTCTATGTCGGCTAGGAACGGTCAACTTCTTATAAGGGCTTGGGAATCCTCCTTTGAACTAACTTTTGGCGGTTAGTTAGACTCAAGTTTTCTAATATGATATCATAGGTTATTAAGTTGGAATGTTGGGCTATGCATAGATGTCCAGTACTGTTGGGTTACTTATAGATGTTCAGTTATGCAAATTTCATGCACCAAATTTTGAATCCTAGATGTGAGAGAATTGTTAAGATGTCCTACATCAATTAATAATAGAGTGAAAATACTTCTTATAAGGGCTTGAGTAGTTCTCTTGAGATTTAGAGAGAAGGAAAAACAAAATAATAAATATTCCCTAGTTCAATATTTTTTAAAATAATAGATTAGCATAAAATTAATGTGCTAATCTTTTATTTTAAATATTATATAACTCTCTTAATTTAAAAATAAAAACTTGGTCCTCCTTCTGTATTCCTTTCAAAACTTCACTCGGAAGCATACTTTTAATTTTCATTGATAAATGTCCCGTAGACTAGATATTTCCGTCTATTTGTCAAGATTGTTGAATGGTGTGAGTAGTTTGGTTCTATCTGTCTGTCATATATGATGTAGAACTTTCTCAGCTCTTTGCTAGATGTTGAAGCCTTTATACATTCATTTGCATAATATGCTGAAATTATCAAACTCAACATTTTTTGTCAACTTGCAGTTGTTTGACCGCTATAGAGGCAAACGAGTGCCTGTTTAACACGTGGAATTGTTGAAACATTGTGTGCCTGCTAGCGAGCGCATATGTAAGTCCGTGTAGAGAAACTACGTTCATTTGAAGACCTAACGCTGAATTGAGAACGCAATTAATTGTAGAAAATGTGGTCATTGCATTTAAAACTCCTTTTTAGCCCCATTTGATTCTCATGCTTCACGGAAAATCAATTGATCATCGGAGTTGTCAGTTCTTCAACTTATTCTGCATTACTATTAAAATCAGACAATATCTTTGGAAAGGTATCTGTACAGAGAGTGTTACGGTGGCATTTGTTTGGAACACGTCGAGAAATATATCGATTTTAAATTATATCAATAGGTGGTAGTGCAGCCACATGGGACTTTTTATCTTTGATTTTTTTATTTGTAATGTACTCTTCCAGTGAGTTGGAATTGGCTGTGAAATTAAAATTTTGAATTATAAATATATTTCTATTAACTCATGTGCCATCTGCTAGATTCTTCGCAAAATTAACACTTGGGTAAGTCAGAAACTGTAATTACCCATTTACCCTTACGAGGTGTTTTTGATCAAACGTTGGTTTGGGATTTCATATTTTCTTGCTTTGAAACTATCTAATCGTTATTTTCTTTCTAATGTGCACATGGATTGGTTTGACAATTTCAATTTCAATTTGTGTGTGGGTTTTATCTTTTTGACGTATGCAATGAGAGAGACAACAGTCACTTCAGGCCATTTTGTTTTAAAACTAGGTAACATTAATTTATTACTGTCGAACATCATTGAAGTGTGTAAGTGTGTATTAAAATTTATTTGAATCATAAATTTAGTGCGCAAAAATGATAATTGATTAAATAGATACGAACTTCTTATATGTGATACAATTTGAATGCTTAAATTGTTGTGGTTTCAATTATCACAATAAGCACTTCTGATCGATCAAAAGTGGTTAATTCACTTTAATTGCATGAAAATGTAGGTAAACCTTTTAGATTTTGAAGTTCTGACCGATCAAACGAACTTAATGTAATACTTGCCTTTATCATGTTTGTTATTCATCATCATACGTGTACGTAAACGTGTTAAAATGACGTGGCAGATAAAATTAGTGGAGTTAACAATTACTTTTGTCTTATAAATCCTAATTATAATTTATATAGCAAATTATAAGGGGATTCAAAGTTTCAAACAAATAAATCAAACATTTCAATCTGTACAACATAATGACCAATTTCTCTACATTTTCTTTATCATTTTCGATTTTATTAACCTTGAGAGATTTAATGTCGAGTTTATACATTTAAAGGTAGCAAATTTTAAAAAAAATATTTAATACACTTTTATATCTCTTATTTAAAAAAAAAAAAAAAAACTATTTTGAAATGTTTAAACTGGTTAACAAGACCAAATTTCTAGAGCAGGGGCAGGCTAACTTCTTGACAGCTGATGAAGTCTTCATTTTCTACTTCTATAAAATGAAACTATACATTATCCTATCAATAACAAATCGCAAATATTAGAATCAAATAGCTGTACCTTTTCAGAATAATCTAAATTAGCAACAAATCAATTAATGAACTTATTTAGTCTCTTTCTGATTCTCAAGCCACGTGGAAAATTATTCTTAAAAAAAGCACCTCTTTGTTTTGGTCTACAAGCACACCTCTTCTAAGTTGAATGGTTTTATCAGCAGAATCACAACACACCAAATCTAGCACAAAATGGATTTGGTGTACCCCCTAAAGCACCTCCTGCCACCTTTTGCCATCACCTCCCTCCTCCCAAAACCAATATACGCCAAAATACAACATGATGCTTCACGGCATGTCATATACTGATATTTAATACAACTGCTTACACAACAAGCATAACATTGTTCACAACTTGAGTTTATAACTGTCTCTTTCATCTGAAAAAGTATTTGCTTTTCACACGATAAAGAACACTTTACTTTTCTATTATAATACAATCCCTTTTTTCTACATCAGCACCAAACTACACATGGTATAAACACAGGCTGAAAATATAAATGAACAAAGTGACAAGTCACAATTCACAACCTAATGATTTTCATTATAACACATTTGCTTATTGGCATCAATATCTTATACCAACCAACGCAGGCAATCTTGCTAAGGAAGAATACATAACACTAAAGGTTACAATTTACAAAATAAGCTATGCACAGAATATTGTCTGTACAAAATGTGGAAACCATGACAATTGGAAGCATGCTCTACCAAATAGAAGTTTCAAAGAAAGGAACTTGGAAGATTTGGGGGATCACGGCCACATACATTAAAAATTTGACGAAATTCACAATTTTCCCCACTCAACTTAATCTCTGAGTTTTCTGAAAGTTCCAACTTCTCCATCTCAAATTGCTTAACCATCCAAACTGAATCATGGGTCGTCCAGACTGTTGTAGATTCACAACATGCCTTCTGTAAGGTATTAGAAAATTCTTAAGACCTGCCATTCATAAACGAAAAAGAAGTAAGTTCACATGCTCAAAAGCAACCTTTCTCCTCATGAGAGTAAAGCATAACACTATTAATCTATAAATTAATAACAGAATTTGATACAAGGCGTACCATTAATGCACATTGTCTTGTAAAGAAGAGCAACATGAGGGTCTCCTTTAGTACTCATATGCTGCTTCTCCAAACACTCAAGAAAGACTAAGTCAGCCTTCAGCAGCTTAGCTTGATCATGAGTATCATACCCTATATCATGGCAATAACAACAGAAATCCAACCAATCAATCGGTCGCCTGTCCCAAACAAGAGATCCTTTGTCTTTTCCACTAGACCAGTTTGGTCCACAGTAATGTCCATATCTAGGGAACAATTGAGAAAAAAATGCTCTAACCCCTGTATGCCATGGAACCTTACACACATATGGCCGGAAACGTGGAGGGTTAGCCTCACGGTCTTTCTCTACAACATTCCTATGACTTTGTGCATGCCTCTTTAACTCTTTATTGATAGTAGATGGTCTTCGAAACTTATCTCCAGCACTATTTGCCCATGGAAACAATGAAAGGAAGGACAATTTCGAATCGTTACTAGATTCTTCTTGCTTAGGTTGTTCAGTAACAGCTTTGATAGGAACAGAATTGGTCGCCGGATCTGTGTTCAATTCAGCTTTAAGCCAAGGGAGGTTACCAAGAAACCCCAAGTTCATGGTGGATAAAACTAGTTTCACCAAATTACACAGATTGCTACCACAGAACCAAATATTCTTTCAACCTGCCACCAGAAAAGAACAGGTAAACCATTTGCTAACCCAAAGAGAGAGAAAGGAAAAGCTAAATTCAAAATTGGTTCATATTTGAAAAAATAAAAAATCTAAATAGTTTTTGTATTTCTCCCCCATAAAAAAGATATGCCAAATTAAAATTTTGGGTATATTGAAGTCGGAAACCAAGTTTGGCATCAGAACTAGAGCTAAATTGAACACATCCCAACGCATAATGGGTTATTTCAGAACTAATTCACTAAATTTGACTAATACAAGGTTTGATCGAACACTGGATACTGTCTGTCTACAACAGTTGAAGAAAATGAATAGTAAACAAAAAAATTAAACCTTGCACATACTCATTTGAAGATAACTAGAAAAGCACTTCAGAATAAATTCCTAAGCTTTAAAAAAGAAAAAATACAGAAAAAGAAGAATTGGGTATCATGAAAAAAACACCTCTTTAATTTAAAGAAGCAGTTTTAAGCGTGATTGGTCTAAGAACATGATCAACTTACTTGTACTTGTAGTTCATAAGCAAAACCGTGTTCTGAGGAGAACACGTCCATTTGGTTATGGAAAGAAGAAAAATGTAGACAGATGGATTTGGGTGGGAGTACGGTAACCACTAGCTCGCCACCATTTCTCAATAAACAGAGTGGGACCCACCAAAACCAAGGAGTGGCGTCTGAATTATGATTATATATTTTTAGATCACTAATTTCATCCAGGAATCATTCCAAAAGAATTTATCAATGAATGGTGAATTTTAAAATGAAAGGTAATTTTTTTAATTAAAAATATAATAATGTTATTCTTTAATTAAATTTTAATATTTTTTTGATATAAATTATTTAAAAGTAAAGGCTTACATTTAATAAATAGAAAAGAAAAAATATTAAAATAAAAAATAATAGATCTAATTATATTTTAGTCTCTTAGACGAGATTTTTCATATTTATTTTATAAAGTTAATGAATTTTTTTTATTTTTAAAATTTAGTACTTGTCAAAATTTTTTGTCTAAAATTCTTATTTTTAATGTAAATTCTTACAAGTTAAATTATCACATGAATTAATTAATATGCGGTTGTTCTATCTTCAATTTCGAGTTTAAGCATTAATAAATATAATTATATTAAATATTTAAAAAATAAATTTAATACTAATAATGTTACTGGTAAGTAAATTGTTTCCTATAAATGATTTTTATAATCTAAATCAACAAAATTAAATTGATTAAATTGCTTTTTATTTAAAAATTAACTAAAAAAACCTTAAATTTCACTCAAAATAAAAATACTAAATTTTCTCTTTTAAATCAAAATTTCATCATATAGAATTCTTCAAATTTCATTAATTTATTTATTAATTTTTTATTTTTAATTTTTTAAACTCTTATTATGTTCTAATTTTGTAATATCTTTATTTTATTTATGTAATTTGTGAAATAATTTATGTTGAAAAGAGACAATAAGATAAATTTACTTAATTTTATAATAGAAAATTTGATAAAATTTGAAACTTTCTTCTTTTATTACTTAATTTATAAATGTACAAATGCTAAAAATAAAAAAAACATGAGTATATATATCATTTCATTATAATTATAAATAAATTTACGCTAAGATTGAAATAAAATATAGATATATGTTAACCTTCATTAATGTAAAGAGTTAAATAATTATAAACTAATATATTTTTGAAAATATATTAAGACTCATACATAATTTACAAAAAAAAAAAAATAATTTAAGTTTTAATGAGCAATTTATTTTCACACTAAAATACTGAATAGAATTCTAGTCATTATCTTTAAACCAACCTTTTATTTTAACTAACTCTTTTAGAATCAAATTTTCATCATCATCAAGATTATGGTGTGAACAATCCAATTTTAATTTAAAATTTTTTATTAAAAAGATCTAAATTTTAGTATTACAAAAAGGAATAGAAACAAAGGTTTTTAAGAAAAAAAAATTTATCTATATAAAATGAGAAAAAATTATAATTAATTTTTAATCATACTTAAAATCATCTTGCCTTTTTTCCCCCCTTTAAAATGCAAAACTACTTAACAACATAATACGATTTTGACAAAAGCAACGAAAATGAAGCGTTACAGTTTTCATTAATTATAACAAAAAATGACAATAGAAACTAATATAAAAGATAATATCATACGTTAATTTTAAAGATGTTATTTCTTTAATTTAGAGACTAATTTGACAAATGCTTAAAGAATTAGAAACAAAGTTGATAATTTGCTTTAATGAATATTCATTGAATTAAATCGAGAATGGATCCAAGACTTCTTCTCGGTGATATTCAAGTCTAAAGTTGTATATTCTTTTAATAAAAAATCATTCCTCCAAGAGTTAATTTGGATGAAAGTGATGAGAGTGAAGAAAAAGAAGATGAAGAAGAAGAGGAGAGTTCAGAAGAGGATGCAAAAGAATAGATTATGAATTTAGTTCTAGTTGTTTTTCTTTGAAAATTCAGTTTGTGTAATTTTTTTTAGTACTTAGGAACTTTAAATTTTGCAAGTTTAGCTAGTAATTTTCAGTTGTTCAGAACAATTTTAATACTTTTCAGTTGTAATGAAGTACAATTTTCATTTGGTTTTATATTTCTGCATTTTTAGTACTTTATTTTTCTGATTAATTGATGAAAATTTTGATGTTTTATGCAGAATATGTCACTATCACACAACACCCATGCACATGAATTTTGACACTTGCACAAGCTGCCATAAAATAGGGTGAATTATGTACCTCTTGTTCATGAGTTTAGCTTCACATGCACTGGAAAATTTCTAAAAAAACACAAAAATATTAGTTTAGATATTGAGCTGCATTCTGTGAATAAATTGCATTTAATTGAAAATTTTGTGAATTCTGAAAATATTTTTTTTAAGTTGTTTTTCCCATTCTTACATGAGATCATACTTGTAATTTTCAAAATGAGGTAGTCTTGCCACTTTGTACATATAGTTCTGAAAAAGTGGATTGTGAGCTTGAATGATTAACATGTTCACTTAAAATTCTTTGGTGAGACTTGAGCCTCATGCATTCCTTGTGGTGTGCTAATTGATCTCATATTTGCTGCACCTCTAGAACTTGCATTGTTTCTTGATTGAATTTGTAATTTGTAGATCTCGCATAAATGATGGAGGCCTTCTTTGATCCTGCTTAGTTAGCCTAAATGAACCTCCCTTATGTTGAGAATCCTAGTTCACCCCTTTTGAGCCTTTAACCTTTTCTTTGGTGAAATTTCAATATAAGCCTTACTGGAAAACCATTAGATCTATCCAAATTAGAAAGAGACAATTTGAGTTTAATCAAAGATGATTTTTAAAACTAAGTTTGGGGTGGCATCTTGTATGACATTGCTTGAGGACAAGCAAAGTTTTAAGTTTGGGGTAGAGAGCAGCAGCACAATTTGAGTTATTTGAAAAGAAAAAAAAATAAAAAGCAAAGTGTTGAAAAGAAGAAATAAAAAGTGTGAACAACATAAAAGAATCTTGTGCATAATTGATACAAGGATAGTACTTGAAATGCTACAAAAATCATGAAATTCTGTGCAGATTTGAATGAATGAGAAAAAGAATGCAATCACAAATTCAAGTTTTAATTTTCATCTACTTGAATTGCATCTTTTCTGTTTGGAAGTAAATACATTGTTTCCCTAATTGATTGAGCACCTGCCTGTCCTTTAACCTCAATTTCACCTAAAGTCCTCTTGATATGTGATTTGTTATATATTTACAGAGGAGATTGAGAATATTTGCAAGCCTATGGTAGAGTGTGGTAAAAATGATGATTTTTGAGAGCAAAACATTGAGCCTAAACACTGTTGAGTGGTGAAGGAAACACTACTAGTGAGCTGTGATCATGTTTCTTAATTTTGCTCACATAAACCTTTCTTGAAATACATGAACTCAGATGGCAAATCTTGTTTATAATGACTTATTCAATGTGATTGTCATGATGATTGAATGGATGAATAACTTGATTGAAATAAGAAATAAAAAAAACACAGAATTGGAAATTGAAAATTTTTGAGAAATGTAGCCTACTAATTGATTTTTGAAAAGTGGATGAACTTTCCCTTTGTTTGATTTGCTTTAGGACAAGCAAAATTATAAGTTTGGGGTGGTGATAAATCTACATTTTACTACATTTTAGTATAGTTTTTGTTAATAAATAAGTGGTAAAGTACTCAATAAACTTGAAAATACCATAAAAATTGTATTAATATTCTTAATTGTGTTGTTAGTTTGAAATTTTAGATTTTATTCTAATTTTGGAGAAAATTGGCTTAAAAAGAATTAATTTCTGTGCAGAAGCTTGAGCTGAGACCTTGAAGTTGATATTTAAGTGAAGAAAGTTGATGAATTGGGCTTAAAAGATCAAGAATCAAGTGTTTATGTATTGGGGTAACCACTTTAAGTGCATAAAGTTAACACTTTAAAGAAGAAAATCTAAGAAGATCAAGTGCGTAACAACTCTAAGTGTTGAAAGTGAATACTTCTGCAACAGAATTTGTGAAGAGCCTATGCGTTAACACTTTCACTGCTAAGAGTGATAACACCCAAGGCTAATTTGCCCAAGAACCTTACGCGTTAAAACTTTTGCCACTGAGAGTGTCTACGAGCAGCTGCGCGTTAACACTGTGGCCGCTGAAAGTGAACACGCGCAAGGCAAAAGTTTTGGAAACACATGCGCGTAGACACTCTGGTTACTGAAAGTGTCTACGCAAAATAACAGAATTTTGAAAATCACTTTTAAAGCGTCAACTTTGGACGATTTGAGTTCTCACCTTAGCTATAGAAGCTTTTAGAAGACTTTTCATGATATAATTCTCAGAGATTTAATTGAAGAAGTGAAAAAGGCAAAAAAAGGAGTATAAATAGAAGTTAAGAGTTTAGATTTGGAGACTTTTGTTCATTTTTGTTATTTTTCACTTTGTAACTATTTTAACTTCCAAGGGAAGTCAGAGAGAGGAATTGAGAGCGACTTTAAAACTTCATTGCTATAGGAATCAGGGTGAAGATTGGATTTTGGAAGATGTTCTTCTACTCCTTGTCTTCTTCTTCTCTTACTTCTCCTTCTTCCATTGTAATGTTGTTCTAAATATTTTTAGTTAGGGATCTATGGATCTAGATTTGATATTATGATGTAATTCTTGATTGAGATCTTGAGATTTTAATTGAATTGAGTATGTGATTCTATTCTTAATGCAGTTGTGAACTAATCCTTCATTCAATTGAACTTAGAGAAATATTCATCAATGGAAATTGAGTTTATTTCTCAGATCTGAATCATATGCCTATGTTATTGAGATTTTAGGAATAAGTATCATGATCTAGTAATCCTATAATTTTTAGAACTTAATGCAGTACTTGATTAAATTTTACCTAAGGAATTAGGGAAGTTTAATTAGATATTAGGATCAATGAGGCAAGAAATTGTCCTTTAGTTAAAGAAGTGAAATTGATTATCAATCAATTAAAATTCTCAAGAGTCTAGAACATGATTATATTGCAATTAAAAATCTGGTGAAGTGATTTCTAACTATTTTTCACATAGTATTTTCAATCCAAATTTCGTATCTTGTTTTTGTAGCAAGTTTGTTACCTTTTTGTATTCTTA